AAAATCTTTTAGCAACTGTTCTCGGTCGTCCTCCTTTAGTTCGTCCCACCATTTCTTGAGGATGCTGAAATCAGGGATATGTACAGAGTTATGGGAGCACGCTAGAGATGATAGCAGTCACTCACGTACCCATCTACGGCTTCATTTACTTTGCCATTAGCTGCTTTTTGAAAGTAGTACGGTAGCTGAAACAAGCGTGTAATATACCCTCTATTTCGGAAGACGAGAAGAGCGTCGAGTTCAGACGACACACCACAAGTGACGACGGCCAAGCCACATTCTTCTCGGTCGTCGTCACTTGTGGTGTCACTCGACGCTCTTCTCGTCTTCCGAAATAGAGGGTACATGTATCGGACATGACTCCGTTTATATGCCAGGTATTTCCAGGGATACCCGCTAACACGATCTGGCGTTATCGCAAGATACGGGCTAAGCCGAGGAAGGGCAGGAACTTCGGGGAAAACCGAAGCTGCTGACGCACCCTGAGCCACTCCTTCCCTGCTTATTATAACATGCACATCCCGTTTTTCAACAAAAGGGAGACGTCCTATGTGGTTTTAAGTGCATAAGCGCATTGCCACCACGGTGCCCCCGTATCTTGCGATAGGGCCCACGATCATTCAGGATCGTATTTGACCCACTCAGCCAAATTCCTAGATCTTCAAAAGTATCTTGGATTATGAACGGAACACTTTGGTAACATCCAAGAGAAGAAAAGGGCGCTGGCTGAGCCGAGGGCTTGGTCTAAAACTCCGAGAAAAAAAAGGAAATTCGCTTACATATCCTCTATTCTAGTCCTACCTGATGCTTATCCCTACCCAAAGGGGGGAGGGAACTGAAGGAGGGTGTTGGGTTAACAGGCTCTTTCTATAGTGGTACCCCTCAAGTACACCAACACCTACAAAGGCAAGTGGTATTCGAAAGAGTTTCTTTTTCTTGCTTGAAATTCGTCCAAAACCAAGACTTACTTACTTGCTCCTTAATAAATTTATACTTTTTGTCTTCATGGTTGTATGCTCGATCTTCTAGGATCTTATCCATTCTTTTGGCCTTAGAGCTAAGCTTTTCTTTGAACACTTTCATCTGAAAAAAATTATTCAACACAACGGATTTGTTATAGCGTTGCGTTCATACTCAGCGTTTTGAAGAAGCGGAATCCAGCGAACATGAAAAGAGGCTATACGGACGGAGAGGGGAAGAAAGGAAGATCACGCGAAGAGTTCGATAGGTATTGATTAGTTTTTCTACCTTTAAAACACGTATCTTATCATCCAAGGTACGTTGTGATCGATGAAAAATCAATATCTACCTGATGGAGAATTCACATTTGACGACGTATGTGCGATTAGGCGATTACGCGACGATCCAAAAAGAAAAATGTACGTATCGATTAGGGGGATTACGCGCCTAGGAGAGTGGACGATAAGGGGCATACCATACGTTGCTCCGCCTATTGAGCGATCGCCTGATCGCTGAATAGGCGGAGCAACGTACGATCGCCAACTCTGAACGTTCCATCATTCTTTTCAGCAGTTCTCCTCTTCATCCTAAGCATGAACGCGCCTTCAACTAGCCCATAAAATAGGTGGCTAAACATCCAAATGAAATCGAGCGGGAAACAAGAAGGCAGGAGTGTGATTCGGTGCAGTCTGTGCCACGGTTACGATCACTGATAAGGACCCCTGAGGTACAGGGTAAGTGGCACGATAGTAGCACACATGTTGAACGACGGGAGCCATCTTAATAGGAGGCCAATTCGCTGTCAGGACTATGTAGACCTGGCGCTCTTGCGGCGAAGTATGCCCCCATAGCACCCTGTCAAGCTCCAGTACTGGCCGTGGAGAGCTCTGCCTCCAGGTAGCTGAATGATAAGGGAATCGATCTGGATGCTGATACTCTTATCGTAATCATTTGCTCTTCTTCGAACCTCACTTTATTGCGAACGGCCATACACTGGTTTGAGCCAATTATGCACTAGGCCCCGTTCATACTTTGAGAATCGGCTATTATGCGAAGATGCGAAGAGGCGATTGGTAGCACGTTCGCACAAGAGACGCACGCGCCGCGACGCGTCAGGAATCAATCAATCCTAATTAATCAATCAGTCAACGATCTTTCGTTTGATTCGAGTTGTTGATTTGTTTGGCCCCTGCCGCAGCCACTATTTTGTTGTTTTCGTTGTGATTGTTCCCACTTATGCAGAATCAGATCGCTTTGTTCATGTTAGGACAGGTAATGAAGCTAACGTTTCATTGATGTGGACCACGTGTATTATTAAAGATTTCAAGTGTACTCATGTTTATATGCATGCTCATGCTCCCTCGTTAATGCGATCCATATCATATTAAACTCAACTATTTTCATGCCTGAGCAGAAGATTAACACTAGTACAGCGCACCTCTCAAAAATGCGCTGAAAATTTCTATTTTTTTATGTTTAAAGAATTTCCGAGGTAAAACAACGCAGATAGAGAAGATTATCTAAAATAGAATACTTTAACGGCGACATGTCAATAAATGGATATTGAAAAGTTATACACAGTAGAAGAAAAGAGTAATAACAGCAGTAGCAGCGAAACAAAGAAAGATCAGTGATTCATTCATAGACTTGCATCTTATCTGTCGACGCGTATCTTATCCTTCCACGCTGGTCGCTTCTTCGCATCTTCGCCTCGCGCGATCGCTGCAATCCAGACGCGCTCTCGCAAGTTACGCTATGGGCGGAGTCAAGTCAATCAATATGCACGCACATCATTTGATAGAATCGCTCGGTCGCATCATCGCATCTTCGCATCTTCGCAAGTTCTCAAAGTATGAACAGGCCCTTACTATCGCTGCTTGTTGCAGCACGATGCTTGTTGGCATAATGCCAGTAATCACGGTTAACACGTCCAAAGGAACTCGTTTTCGTCCACAGGCTCGTGCCAAAGCTTAACCCAAAATGCGGTCAAATATTTCATTGTCACGAGTTTCAAGTCATTTCTCCATTATTTTTTCCATCGTTATGGCACTTCTACCTCGTATAACTTGCGAGCGCTGCATGTCCTCGAAGGGGCATCCCAAGTGTGGGCAATTTACTATGCTTGTACTAAGCTTGGAAGGGGAAGAGGTCCTGAGGCAGCACTGTAGCAATTCATGTTAGGCCGTTTTTCTCCATTGCTAGTTTCTATGCAGATTCCACCAGTCTCACCTACATCGAATGTCCTCCCCACCAAGGACATGCGCGCTAATTTCAGTTTCAAGAGGAGCGATTCATCATACCAGCTGGCTTTTAAGCCTAGAAGGGAGAGGAGTGCTGGAGGAAGATGAAATGAACCCCAATATTGTCCTGGGACCCAGGAAACTGAGCCTCCCTAAGCCAGGCAAATGTAATGGACTAAGTCGCCCAGTGCGAAAGAAATGTCATGATACGGCGCTTCTTGTAGCGCGCAGAGACTCTTCATACTGCGAGATTCAGTCCTTTTGTCATACTTGCCATCTCCGCAACTCGAACGCCCACATGCCTCTCCGCTAATCTGTTCAACCAGTCCGCTGTAATGCGTTAAAAGTAATCACCTAAGTGTTGTCACTTAGGAAAAAACATACGAATAGCTTCATCCGCAGTCGTTGCGCATATGTAAATATACAACAAAACCACCAGTTTCATGCTGTATGAAAATAGAAATAATCAATTACAGCTTGCTCCTTTTATACGGGTTCCTATATGAACGCTTGAAGTATCCCCCAATGAAAATATCATTCAAAGTATGCAAGTAAGCAATTATGTGCATGAGTCAGCGTTTATAGTTCGCGATCGTAAATGCGATTAGGCGATTGGGGGTTGGGTGATTGTGATTCACAAAAAGTATACGTTTCGATCAGGCGTTGTTCGCATTAGCGAGTAGGCGCTCGCTCATGTGGGCAAGCAAACCACATCGAATAGTCGCCCAATCGTAGCCGTATTCTTTCACTTGGCAGACCAATTGGCTTGATAGCATAATCGCCGCAAGTAATATGATACGATCGCGACTGCGGTTAGTGAGATCTTTATTAGAAGCCGATGACGCAAGTGTCCGTTTTCTTCTGCTTTCTTCCGCCTAGGCCGATGTCAGACTTTGCGAATCGCGCGATTCGCTAGCGTCTGCGGTCGCGTCGCGGCCAGTGAATCACTCAATTGGCTGGTACCGCAACGCGACCGCGGACGCTAGCGAATCGCGCGATTCGCAAAGTCTGACATCGGCCTAGCGTTAGTCCCGCGCAGTCGCAGGGTCCGCTGTCTTTGTCAGTCGTCGCCACTTTAATCTGTCCAGGGCGTCCTCTGCTGTGGCCATGACTTCACTTAGATCCTTCTTGATCACGTCTCTCCACCTCTTCTTTGGGGCTCCTCGCGGTCGCTTGCCTTGCACTTCGAAGTCCATCGCTGTTCTTATCGGATGATCCTGTGGCCTCCTTAGCACATGCCCATACCATCGCAGACGCTGTTCCCGTACCTTCAGCTGGACAGGGGCAGTCTGCATGACCGCCCTATTATCCTCGTTTCTGACCGCGTCCAGCCGCAGGCCCACCTCAGCATCCTCATCTCAGCGGAGTGAAGCTGCCTTTCGTGGTTCTTGTTCAGGGGCCAGCACTCGCTGCCGTATAGCATCGCAGGCCTCACTACTGTCGGTACACCTTTCCCTTTGAGTATGGGTCAAATTGCATTCAAACTTGTCACTACGCTCTGAGTAGAAGCAGAATACGTGGCGTGTCCCGAAACCAAATTGATCAACCCCGAATGCTTTATCTTTATATTCAAACTTTCAATTTGTATTGTGTTACTTACAATGCATTGTTATTCATGCTATTATATATAATCGATCGCACTAATCGAACGAGGGGGTCGCATTTTTGGTCTTGAAAAGGGGCGACTGGTACCAAGGAGAAAACAAGGCCCTGGGCTGTAAATTGTACGCAGCTGTGGCGGAGAAGAGCCCTAAGCCAAGGGCGGCGTTGGAAGATTGTGCGACCTCCGCTTCTTGACGTGCCCGGGAGTACGAATAGCCGTCGAGAAGGGTTATAGAAGCTAAGAAGTAGGAAGGGGGTCGCATTCAGCATTGTGTGGAATTAATAAGTATGTTGAGATGGCGATTCTAGGAAATGTAAAGGTGGACGTAGTGTAGGGAAGGAATAGGTGATAAGGATTAGGTAAAGAAGGAGATTAAAACCAAGCGTGGTGGCCGGGGAGGGAGAAGATGTTCGTAATTGGCAGGAACCTCTCAGTTCCATGTGGTGGTGGGCGATCGCTCGGAACCCTTACCCCAAAGATGGGGTCGCGAATTTTTGAAAATTTGTCGACGTCCACGGTCGAAGCTAGTTGGAAGGATATGATTCTGGTTAATGCTCTCCTACAACAGAAATACTCAAAGTTCTTATAAGGCGAGAGGGTGGTGGGGGGAACATGAAATTGAAATATTTTGCAACAACGACACTAACAGCGGTAATTGTTTATTGTGTATTTATCCTTGTTTATAAACAAAATCTGGCTTTGTTCTACTTTCTAGATTTTTTACTTCGTGGATTACAATGATCTCTAAACTCAATGAGATTTCTAGGCGCTCTGCTCGCCTTATCTGTGTTATTGCGATGTCAACAAAGTAGGACAGGATAAAATGGAATTCTTTATTCATTTGACAGTTTATTAACTTAGGCCTCTTTGACCTTTTTGCGGATGATACGTGCACGTGCTCGGCCTCGTGCGCGAACCTTGCCAGCCAAGACAGAGGCGCGGTGTGGACAAGGACAGTAGTGAGCATCTTTACCGGGTCCTCCAGGGTTGACCTGGTGATCCAGGCATTCCAGGCATTCCACGTTCACCAGGAGGTCCTTCTGGTCCACTTGGACCTGGTGCTCCTGACATGGAATCCCTACCCGGTGGACCGTCTTGACCAGCTTGACCGGGTTCTCCAGGGGTTCCAGGTTGACCAGCTGGGCCATTGGGTCCTTTGCCGCCTCTTGTTCCGTCGCCTCCACGGTCACCTTGAGGTCCTGGTTTGCCAGGACTTCCAGGTCTTCCAGCCTCACCAGCTTGCCCTGGAAATGGAGTGCATCAGAAGGATCTGTGTTAGTTTCATCGTGAAAAATTTACCTGGTTGCCCTGCTTGGCCGGGTGGTGAAGAATCGTACCCAGCTCCATTTGGCCCGTCGGGACCGGGCCGACCAGGTTGACCTGGTGGACCTTGTGGGCCAGGAGGACCATTCGGGCACACCCTGGAACGATAATTGCGATCACCTATACTTCAACGAGGTGACTATCATATTGTACCAAAACGATACCTGCACTGCCCACGCGAGTCCAACGTGACAGGGGGAGCGTTTCCACGAGCTCCTGGACCTCCTCGTTGACCTGGCAGTCCCGGCGTTCCGTCTTCTCCTGCTTGACCGGGGTTACCAGCTGGTCCAGGCGGGCACGAGTTTTCGCCGTTGCAATGGCATTGTCCCGAGGCTTCACGATGACGGCGAGGATGTTCTTTACGATGGGGGTGTAGAATGCGTCGTGTGGAACGAGCTACTCGCACGTGATATCTGAAATTGCTACCCTTAGCAGTAGAAAACCCGTTTTGCCTCGCCGTCCCCGCAGAGAACGATCGGGCGCCCGGAAACTCACGTGGTCTGCTTTTCCATGTCCCGGAAGTCGCGCATGTCACGTTCGAGTTCATCGGATATTTCGCCAAACTTCGTGGAGAGTCGGGTAGCCAGAAGGATTATCATCGTTGTGGCACCAATGGATAACGCTATAGCCGTGTAGGCCGCACCCTTACCGTTCATGGTTTCGCGGGTTCTTCCTAAAAAGAGGTCGCATAGGCCTATTCTATTCAATCACCACTACGATTATAAATGATGTCGAATGCGTGGCGTATGCAAAAGTCGAGTCTCTAATGAACGGAGGTCTTTCTTCTTTCTTATTCAACACATCTACTAATTCAAATCTTTTCGGTAGCCAGCTTAAAGGCGTTCCAGCTGGTCCTAGTAAAACAACAAGAGATCATGTTCTTTGTATTGTTTTGCTTGAGGTGCTTTATAAAAAATTGCAAATTAAGTAAAAAATATGAAGGAGGATAGTAGAATTGGGGCAAAGCAATATTGGGGAATTGAAAACGCATGAAGAGATAAAAGAGTTGTTTAATTAAAATTGTGAAAGCACCAGTATAAAATTCAAGATTCAAATCTAGGCAAAATTGGACCCACCTGGTTGGAAGGAGTTGATCAACTGATGATAACGATGTGATCAAGAGATTTATACTCTAAGGAAGACTGTGCAAAGTAGTGGAACAAATAATTTGTGTAGTAAATCGTCGAGCAAACATTTTTATGACCTTCGCCTTTGCCTTTGACATTCCTCACCGACAACTCACACCTAGACAACACACATACACACAGTTGAAAAACAATGAAAACAGGACTGCTAGCAATGGGAATCATTTCAATGGCTGACAGGATTGCATATTTATCTAATAGAGAGAGAGTTTAAAAAATCAGTGGTCAAACTTCAAAGCTTTTGCTATTTGATTAATTCTTTTTAGGATGAGCCATGCATACTGCTTCAATTCAAACTTTGTTGTTGTAATGGAACACGTTCTGGTATTTACAATGAATCCACGGGGTACGCCATGTACAGGTCAGTGTTTTTACTCTGTCCTACGAATGTGATTGCAAGTAACTGCTCTTGAGGGGTAAATATGGTGTCGTAGAAGTGTACGACCTAGAAATAGAGTGCACCCGCGCGTGCGGTGTGGGCTCTTTGTTAATACCGACACTTCTCCACAATGTGCGAAGACAATAAATAGGTACTGATAAAGACGACAATAAACTTCTCACAAAAATGCAGGGTTCTGGGTAACACGGCGTTATCGCAAGATATGGGGGGCTCCTCTGCGGCTGAGCCCAGGAAGAGAAGAACTTCGAGAAGGAATGAAATCACTTGAAGCTACTGGGCTCTTCTCTTCGTCTAGGTTTGTCCTGATTTAACGAATGAGATAAGTTTTCACGCAGGCTTTTGATATATATAACACAGTGCCCCACGTAGCGCATTCGATACGCGGGAAAAGTCTTCTCAGGCGGGAATGTCACACTGCTGCTTGTGGGCCGTTGTGCCACGACAGTCCCCGGACACAGCTTACCTTAGCCCAGCTTTATCCTGGTGTCTTGATGTCAAAAACTTAAAGACCGTTTTCAAAGGTGGAGAGTTTCTGCATCTTCTTGTGGTTTATTACAAGGCTGAAATTCACTAGTCGATTGAATGAAACAATCGATTATATAGGCAAAACAGAACATGGACAAGTAACATGAAAAGCATAACAAATACAGGGGACAATAACAAGAAGAACAAGGTAAGCATGACTCCATTCCAGAAGTTTCTTTCATAATCATGTTAGCCTATGCGTGCGAACACTGCAACGTTGCTAAATTTTTGGATCGCTGCTCAGAGAGACCGCGGTAGCCTCGTGGCTACATTCACTCCCACCAGGGTCAGTCGTGCGTGAGGATCGTCGACATGTCACAGAGGGGGTGTATTGGCACCGGGGAGAGATCGCCCGATTGAACTAGGATGCGTCGTCGGAGGACAAAGTAACGATGATTGCATCAGAGTATTCCAATAACAGTTTACGTCCACACAAAAATCGTCGTGATTGGAGGTGTCGCTTAGTGACTTTAGTGTTTCATCACCACACAAGTCAAAGGATCCGAAATTCGCACGTTTTCTAGGGATATTTTATCTTTCAAGTAGGTCCTCAAATCCAACGAGATGTGAAGCACACGGCGCATCCCAGAGTGGGCCCAGTTGGTTGCGCGCGCTTCAGCTACGGCTATCTTGATAACGAATCTTAATTCAGGAAGAATCAAGAGGGTTCTGAAAGAGTTCATGTTAAATTACAGAGAGGAGTACACTATTCAACAAGAAACGCAGCCTTCAGCGTCAAATTCACAAGCATGTAACCTTTAAAGTTGAGACCCGCTAAACAATTTTACACTTTTTGCAGAGAGAAAAGCACGAGGATTTTGAATCTGCTCCTACTTCATGCAATCGCTCCTGCAAGGAGTATAATGTGGATAGTGCTAATGTAGCGAAAAAGTACCTTTCGGCGGTACTCGGGCAAAAATCCTCAACGTGGCCATTTTTTAAATAGTGAACGTATTTAGCAGTTTTAGTTGCCTATAGAAAGAGCAAATCTTCTAGTTTATGATGACGTATTAACTTTCCAGATTGCATGAGTTTGAACGGAGTTATGGCTTTGGAAAGCGTAAAAACTCGCACTCATCACGAATTTTCCTCGTTAATTTTGCAAAAATCCTCAACGTGGCCATTTTTTGAGTACTGGACGTATGAAGCTGCTTTAGCGACCGTTTGATAGAGAAAATCTTCTAGTTTTGTATGACGTATCAACTTTTTGAATTTGACGGAAATGAAGCAAGTTATTGCTCCGGAAAGTGTAAAAACTCGTGCTCGTCTCGAATTTTCCTCGTTATTTGATCTAAATTTGTTATTTCTTATAACTTCCTGTAATTTCAGTACTGATTAGAAAAAGCTCTTCACAAAACTCCCAAATCAGCTTTCAGATTGAAAATTCGTTAACTTTGAAGAAAGTTATAATCATTTGAATATTTGTTCAAATTTCAATAAATAGGTTGGCAAGAAAGTCCTGCGACACTTTTTCAATTTTTTGATTTCAATTCTATCTTTTTTGTTTACAACTCCTGACCGGTCATATTCTATCATGAGTGTCCACCACTTGTCTTCAACGCTCAGAAAATTTCCTGATGCGCCTTTTCCAAAACCCAGCGGAGTGCGGGTCAAGAAAGGAGGCGACCTCACTTCCGAGTTGGAGTTGATCGTCTAATTATTTCGTTATCAAGATGATGATTAAAGGTCCAGGGATAGGTTGCAGGCCTTCATAGCTCGACCAGGGATTACGCTAAGAGAGGTAAGAAATCTTGCCGCAACTCCAGAATTTCTTACCGGGCTCATTTCGGATCATGGTGATTCGCAATGTCATGAAAGAAATGAATATTGTCGCGGTACGAGGGCTCTTGACGAGCTGCCTCGGCCAGCTTCTGGTACTCCACAACCTAGGCCACTGCCTACACAATGGTGCCCATAACGAAGGGTATGTAGTGGAGCTTCTGTAAGAGCCCTACCTGTAATGGAGTGTAGAGCTACTGGCTTCTTATAAAAATATCAAAGAATCGGAAGCGCTGGTAAAGGTGAAACACGTTGTAGCGGTGAACGACATGCCTAGTTGAAGCTATTGCAGATAGTGTTGGTCTTCGACACAAATCCATAGTTATGTAGACACTTGTACTAGACAGTGACTCGGAGTGTGGATTTACTAGTGGTCGAGGTTTTTCAAATTTTCTTGGATAACTACTTACTGCAGCACTTATATCCACCTCGTGGATTAAAGCCTCGAGAATGCTCTACCATTTGTTAGTCATAAATGTTACCTATGGATTGTTCAGAAAAAAAGAAAATTTTAGAAAGAGTGTCGCAGGACTTTCTTGCCAACCTAATAATTCAGAGCTCCCGTCAGGCAAAGTCAGTCATACATCAGCGGAGGCTTACAAGGCTTCCTTGAGCGAAAGGGGGACGTGTAAATTGAGAACCATAATCTGTGTAGTACTAGAATTTGGTAAGTCTTGTGGAGGAAATAAACAAAGAAGAGGTGTTGTCATAGTACGCCATTTCTAGTGACTAGTTTGACGTTTTTTGCTCCGTTTCTCGTTTGCTCGTTTGACAGGACTCGTCATTAATGATCATTCTTTGACTTTTTCACTTTTATACTTTTTAAACGAGTTTTTTGTGGACGATGGGGTAGCAGGGCTTTTTTATGAGCAGTTTTGGTGGAGAATTAAACAACTTTTTCATAGTTCGGCTTTTAAAGAGGGTTGTTTCATGGACTTCGGCCTTCGGCAGAGGGGGGGGTCGGTCGTTTTTCCGAATTTTCCTCGACGCCTCGCTTGACCCTGCACCTCGTTGGTTGCATTCACTCCCATCCCAACGTTAGCGTTGCGCGCAAGAACCTTGCGACTGCGTCCTGGCGGTAACATCGGTTACGGTACACCATTCTTGTTTTCCTGAACTTATAAGATTGTCGCGCCGGTACCCTCCGTCTCTCGTATAAAGATGAGTCGTAAATGCAGACTCTGCAACGTAGACATGGCATTAGATAGCATCAATAGCATCAAAAATCAACATGATATTGATTATTCAAAGCATCCGTCCAAGTCATACACGTTAGGTGGCCGTGAAAAAAATCGATATAGCGCATTTTTTGGGTGCTATTGACTACCTGATACGAGCTCTGTACTTAATTCTTGACTGACATCTTGTGAGTACGGGAAACAAAGTGCGCTCAGAAGACAGTGGTCCACCAACACAATTCAGAACGCGTTTTTGAGAAGCCCAAAAAAGAATCTATTCTGATCGTATACGAATTCATTTGCTCATTTTTCAATTCTTGAAGAAATGACAGTCCAAAAAAACGCCATCAAGGGTTCAATAGGTAGGTAATAATAGGAGTATAAACAAAACTCAATATCGAAAATAGGAAGGAAGAGAGCTTGCTCGGGCAACTCCAAAAATTCTCAACAATTGCAAAAAGTTCATACCTGGGAAGTTCTCACAAGCAGAAACCATGTATAGCATAAAATAACCATTTCGAATATCATAATAATGGTGGTGAGTGAAGGGCTGACTGTTACCCTCCTTTAGCCATATTTTAAAATATTTCGCAGCGGTATCTGCTCTTAAGAGCGCAGTGAATGAAATA